GAACGAGTCTGTTCTGCGCTGGTAAAAGACCTCCGCGTGCGGGAGGAAATCCTTTGTCTCCACTGCTGCGATTCCACGCGGCGACAATGCGCGCCGCGAGCACGGCAATGAAATAGAAATCGGAACCGGAAGAGGGAGGAAAGAGTCGGAAGCGATAGCTCATTATACCGGATTATTGTGATTTGCGGCTCAATGGGATCCGTCAGCAAAATCCTCAAGTCCCACGCCCGCCGCGCGCGATACGGTTTTTCCCTCGCGCGTCCTCGTCTATTAAAAAGCAAAACCGGAGTTTTCGTTGCCCCGGCTTTCCAAGTTCACACGGCCATGCACGGTCGATGCACCTGCCGCTGACGGAAACGACCGATTATCCATGGGGCCCTTAAAACCCAGCCACCCTTAGTCCTCGGGTAACCTCGCTGCATTCAGTCCTACCGATTCCCTCGGATATTTTGGCGTTGAGATTATTTTGTATAAGCGCAAGTGACTCTTAAATGTATTTGATTTTGCAGCTAAATCATAGATTCGTACCACACGCGTTTCTTTAAAGGCCGGTTTTCCAACCTCTTATTAAGCTAATTAATAGTTAAATTACACGGAGAGAATGTTCTCTTAAAATATACCCTGAAAATCATGTGATCGTGGCATTTTGAAGAATTTTATGAGAGTTTCTTCAAATTTTACCATACATTCTACTAGTAAAATATATACTAACAAGGGAACGGTCCGAAATGTCCCTCACCGACTTCAATGCACTTCGGATATAAAGTTTTTATGAAACATTTTTTCGTAAATCTTATAGTTTCGAAGATATTTTAAAAAATGGAAAAATTCCGTTATTTTCGAGGGACTGTTTTACCCCCTAAACGCCAAGAAAAACCGCTAAAAAAATACGGGTTTAATATTTTTTATGCTCTACAACATATCCAAAGCGCATCGAAATCGGTGAGGGACATCTCCGACCGTTCCCTTGTAAGTACAATCACTAGTGAAATGTATGGTAAAATTTCAAAAAAACTCTATGCCATATTGTCCTACACGATTTTCAAGATAAATTTTAAGAGAAAATTCTCCCCGCGTATGTGTCTGTCTTCGTCTGATTTAAAAGAAAAACGCATGATTTAACTAGTAGTTAATTTATCAAGAGCAACCGACCCCAAGTCTCGTCCGGATAATACTTTCCGTTCGAAAATGATCGCGTTCTTTTTATTCTCAGGAGATCGTTGAAGAGAGCTCCAGTTTTCGGACACTCTCGTTTATCGCGCCGAGAAACTCGATATCTGTCGCCGGAGAAAATGGCACTTTCTCATTCCGCGTTCTTTCAGAGCGACATTTTTCTCGCCGAAGAACGAAATATTTTCCGCGATCCGCATTGCGCCGCGAGATTCGTCTACTTTTTTTTCCCTCCCTCGTCCGGAATTGGAGAGACCGGTCGTGCGACGGCGAACGCGGGGGAAAACACTTTCCGCTCTTACGTTTTCTATTTACTTGCTGTTTCGTTCCGCAATTCTAGCCGCCAAGATGTCACGTGGTGAACGCACGGAATGCGCGCGAGGCAGTGAAATTGAAATTGTTGTCCTCCACTTTGCGCGCTTGCAACACGACGCCTATTACCTTTAATGAAAGGTGTTCGTTGGCTTCGGGATATTTGATTGGACGAGCCGGCCTCGGTCGAAGACGGCGCGATTATATCGAACCTTTATCCGCAAAGCTTCTCCACTTTGCATGAGCACTTTTATCCCCCGCAAAATCCTCTCACGTACAAAGATTTTAGCGGCCTTCCGATTAAAAAAAGTTGAAGAGTGTTCGAACCACGGAGCAAATATACGGGCAACTCTCCCGGAATTGCATTGCTAAATATACATGATAAATTACTTTATCTTGAAAAATCATTATCCGAAAATAACTCCGCCGAGGATCACGTATAAGCTAACACGCTTCATCCGACAGGTCTCAATTATACAACTACGTGCCAATTATATGTTTAATACGGAATAGAAACGTTTACCTCGCGGAACGGCATTCATAAGAGCGGAAAAATGTGTTACGAAACATGTTTTTCATAGCTGCGGTCGAGACTTTTCTAACGGGAAATCTCCTCTTCGAAAGGAGGCACACATTATGCAAATAAAGATTCAATTTTGAACACCTCAAAGTTTCTGTACTTTTACTTAAGGGTCAAAGTGACGGGGGAGCGAAGGGCGCGAAGGAGATTTGGGCTAACGTGGCAGAAAGAAATAATGAGCACCGTTTCGCATTAGCAATTCAAACCACTTCCGGTGTCCGTGTTGGCGTGAGGAGAGCAAGCTGCCGCCTCCGGTAAATACGAGTTGCTTGAACTCGGAATCGCTTGAAAGAAATCCAAGTACCTGCGTTCTCCTTTTTTTTTTCTTATCGAAACTCTAGTCTCCACGCGAAGAAAGATGCAGAAAATTCGAGTGGCTCGCGCTACGATCAAGAGAACATCGAGCGCTTCAACTCCGCGGGATAATACTGTTTTTAACAAGACTGAAGATATATTGTCGCCAGTGAGTAATTAACCAATATAGGAAATTAATAATCGACACGGCTGGCAAATTTTAATTAAAGAAATTTAGGTACTACGAAAAAAATTGATTGTCAATTATTAATTTCCTGCATTGCTCAATACTATTTCTGTCGCATTCCGAGACACGAAATGAGAACATATGTACACTGACAAAAAATTTTGTTAAACAATTTTAAGTAAATAGATTTACTTAAAATTATTTTTGTACTGAAGTAAATATTTATTCTATTTAAATAAAAATATCAAATTTCAAAGTAAATCCATGTATTATATTTAGTAAATTAATTTAAATCATTACATTTTCTATATTCAAATAAAGATTTCATGAGATGTAGAATACTATTTATTAAATGAAATAATTGTTTTTGTTAAATAAGAAATCTAATTTTCTTCGCGAAAATTACACCTTAGTAAATATTTTATAGAATTAAAATAAAATTTTTTAAATTTAAAATAATCTATTCTTTAATATTTAATAAATACTCAAATTAAAGCAATGTATGTTTTAATTTAAGTTAATAAGCTATTAGGAGCCACCTAATGAATAATTTTCTTGAGTAAAGTAATTTTTTTATCAATGTAGAGGAAAGACAAATGTAACTGCCGTAACTAAAACTTCAGTTGTAAAATATGGACAGCTAATATTTAGTCGCGATAGCCAAATATTTTGCTAGCGTGCCTATTGTATTAGGCGCGACAGCGTTTTAAAGTTACGGCAGCAAAATATTTTGAGCAAACCGTGATTAGCCACGGTAGCGAAACTTTGTTTTTCAGCGTATATATGACTTCAATGTCGAGTACTCTTCATTTTACGTGAAAACTGCTCACCAATTAAAATTTGTAATAAAAGAGAAACATCAAAGGACAATGAAATTATCATTCCTTTGTAATGCAAAAACTCTCGTCAAGAAACGCATTGGACAATGGAGCCGCTATGCGACTAATTAAACCGGCTTTCTACGACTGCCGGCTGACGGTCTCCACGCCTCGCGACGTTTTCATGAATACTGAATCGCGTATTTTTACGAACGGCCCCGCGGCATTCCTCCGTTCCGATCGTTCGACATCATTCCGCGCGTCTCCGCCGCGAAGAAACGCTCGTGCATCTTCCAGCGCGCTGCGCGAGACGCCGCGCACGCACTCGCGATTACGCGCGCCTCTTCTTTTACCGTTACGCAATCCGTAATGGAACCTTAAATTGCGCGCATGCCTGAGTAAAGGTTTCGTTTATTCGACAATTATCCCGATCGACGGGAAACTTCAATCGAGCATAATCGAGGGGGGAAATTGCTCGATTGTCAACCTCGTGAAAGTAAGACGGCGTCGGAAGCTCGGCGTGAGGGAGTTGCGGCACGAACCGTGCTTTCTAGGCTACCATTTACGGACGCGCGTATTGCATTCCCGGCTTTTAATGCTGAAATGTAATTGTACGGTGCGCACTAACAAATCACCGACGGACATATCAGATTAAAGCGCATCGAAAATTTGTCTCCACCACCGCTTGCCCTGTGCTCTCTCGGCTTTCTCTTTCCCCGAAGGAAGAACGAACGCCCGTGATTTAAGAGTGAAATCTTTAACGCGCGCCAAAATGTATATCGGAAGATACGTGTCGAGAGATTTTAACGCGAGAGCCTCCTCTGCATTCGGCCATCGGTATTCGGTGGAGAACGCCCGTCACGCTGAACGGTCGCTTCTTGAATCGCGTGCGGCGACGATGCATGCAGGTGTATCTGATGAACAGGCGTAGCGCGTGTTATAAGAAATCCGATCTCTCCGTTTGCACAAGACGTAAAGACGAGTCTCTCTCCTTCCTCCTCTCCTCTCTCCTTCTCTCATTCTGCGTTCCGCGGTCTTAATGATTCACCGAGGACAGACACGGGCATCATACGGCATTTAAGATAGAGAAGAGACTTTTAAGCCTTTAAGAGCGATTGTCTGCCATTATCTTTGATACCATCAGAAAGATCAAGACATTCGAAGGATCAGAATCTCCGCTTTTTTTTCTCTCTTTTCCTTTTGGCAATAGTTACGGCGGAAAGAATACCGGGGCGAGAGGAGCCGGGGAATTCCCGACGGCGGCATTCTCGCGGAATGTCGACATCGCGCAACTTCGGTCGAGAAATGAAGAAGCGTAAGAGAATGGAAGTATCGAGCGCGCGGCCGTCGGTGATGGATCGCTGGTGCCGACGTTCTCCGATGGCGAAAAGGGGGAGAGATAAAGCGGGGAAGAATGAAGAGAGACGGAGGAGGAGGCATTGGCCAGCATATATGACCGCTCACTGGAAACGCAATTTACACTAAGGCGTTGCCCGCGATTGCCTCGTTACCGCAGGTTGCGTGGCACTTGACGCGGCAACTGCCGTTATCGTTTCCGCGGCCGACCGTCGCTAATTGGTCGTGGACGAGCGCGCGACGTTCGCCCGAATTCTGCGGGAGAGACGAGGTCCTTACTCACCAGCCTGATGTATCTGCCGATCATCTCCGCCAGCTGCGGGGCGCGATTCGTGTGCAGAGGCAGCCGCACGCCTGACGCGATCTGCAGCACGCACACGCCCGACCTGGACGAATTCACGGAGACGATGTCCTCCAGCGGCAGGGTCTCCAGAATGATCAGATCGCCGTTCAGGGTGCGCTTGATCAGCCGAAGTCCGTGATGCGACACCGCCACGTGTTGCGTCTCCGGGTGTTGAGGGCCGATCTGCGGCGGGAGACAGATTAAGATTACTGATAATGATTTCTCCAGACCGTTTCTCGATCAGTATTTTCCCTGTTTAAGATATTAGATAGAATAGAATCAGATTACATTAAATTACAAGCAATTTCAATGTACATTAGTGTCTTATTAATCTCAAATAACAATTTTCGCGCGCAATTCTTGCTCGTCTTACGGATGCAAACTTGTACGAGATTTGTCCGAGTTTTGCTCGCAAGATAGTCGCAAGTTTAGTCTGTGCGTTTGCACGCAAGTGTTTAGCTCATGTATTAACGTATAATTTTGCGTGCAAATTTTGTTTGTCTTATGGATGCAAACTTGTACGAGATTCGCCTGAGTTTTGCTCGT